GTATGTGTTTTCCTTATAACAAAATGGAAAACATTTCTGAGGAAGTATTTCGCACATAGGTGTATATAAGCCGGGTACTATCCCATTATTAAATATTAATGTTTACTCTTTGCAATCAATTTGTAGTAGTATTTTTGTCTTAACGGTGTTGCTACATACACACTGTAATCGCTGTCATGACCATGCGACTTGAATGCGAAATAATTGTCGGCAAAATCTGGCAAATTAAAAAAAATCGAGTTTACATAGTGGTTAGTATCAATGCTTAAGTTTTCTTACGCCGTTCAAGTTAGGCTTATATAATAGCCATATAAAAAGCCGGAATATCATATGAAGTTAACTTTCCTTGTACTTGTGGATTTATATAGGACGGAATGTAATAAGGTATGTCCAAGATTTTATGATTATTAAAGTTTTTCACCCCGTGCAATCCCATCCACGCCAGCCCATCTATTTGCCTTAAATTAATATTTTAATTAGATTGTAATGTAGCCTTTGCTGGTTTGTTTCAGAGCACGCATTACTGCAGCCGCCAATCCATCTCGAGCATAGACGATGACGTGTGAAACGCGCAAGTTGAAGTCGGGTTTTTGGGTGAGTCTCGCGCGGTACCCATTTCTCTCGGGTCACTGCGATGACGTCACTGACATCCCTGAAGTCCGGTCGCCGGGGTGACAAACCGAACGAAATCCTCGGCTCGAAAATCTCACATGACTGTACAGCTACTAAATCTAATAGGCGAAGCGTCTCTCTAAACCCGCGTCCTATAGGCCTCTCTTCCTGCATTTTAGGATGGATGTTGGAAATTGACTCTTGTACTCTCATTTAACTTTAACACCAAACTGGTGTCATTTATTTACTCTATGAAGTGACCAGGTATGTCCTATATTTGTTACTAAATGCTAGAGACAGTGATTGACTCAAAAGTGTTGTGTAACTACTTTTCACATAAATATGATGGGAAATATATATTACAATTAATTCGCGGGAGAAAAAAACGATGCTTCATTTTTATTGAATATTCAATAATATTACCAGTACTATTTAATTCGTTTGTTACTTTGGATGAAAGCGCAAAATTAAGTATGAATTTCTTTATTCGTGACCAAAATGCATCGGATATATATTTTTCATTTATGTTGTTATTTTGTAAGTTTATTTTTAGTAGGCTTTTGGATGTGCTAAGGTATTGTTTGTATATGGTTATATTAGCCATGTTTAAATAGCCTTTAGATAAGCGTTTTTGTGAGCAAATCCGAAGGCTAGTCCGTATTATTTTAATCGTACTTTTACATCACAGGCTACACCGGTACATCTCCGAACTACCACACACATCTTTGCAACAATGAAATCTGACAAAAATATCCCCAACTGAAGTACAACATTAACAAATAATAAACCAAATGCTATTACTCTTTAAAAAAAATGCGCTTTTGAAATTGTAATTATTTGACAATTTCTTACACGTCAGTATACAATTTAGGACAATGCGCGGCAGTGCGGATATTCTTAAAGTGCTTGGAAATAAAAGGCCACACTGTCCCGAATGTTTGGCCTGTGGTTTTGCTAATTTGAGATTAAAAGCGCCCATGTCTTTGAAGGCAGACACATGGTGGTAAAGTACAGTTAAATATTCTATAGCCGAGTCCCCCGGCGCAGCCACTGGCTTCATTAAATTTTCATCAGCATCCCAGAGAAAAGAAGGAAAAAAATCAGAGGGAAAAAAAATCAAACAGGGCGGCAAATTATAAGAAAATAAAACAGCGACAATTATTTTAAACAAGAGCGTGTCCATGAACATTGGAATTACTCTTATAAAGACCGATCCGGCAGATAATATGAAAAATGAGCGATAGGCTAATCACTGCTCCCCCCCCCCCCCCACACACACATTACTCTATATAAAACACTGGTAATTAAAGCAAGTAGCGATATTTCTCCTGCTGATAATATTTGATGCTTGGAATTTGACCTTTTGACACATTACAACACAGCCTATATGTTAACAAAGGATGTTGTAAATCATAGTCGAAATGGAAGCGCATGACCACCCTAACTATAAGTAAATTATTGTAGGCCTACTATATTACCAGATATTGAATATAAATTAATATCGCAATAAGTGTATTTTAAAACTGAATAGCCTACAGCTCGAAAACTTCGAAACTCACCGCTCACAGTTAATTCCGAATTCGAAGGAGATGTTCACTTATCGGCTCACCATGACCAACTGTAATTAACAGAGATAACTAATGATTACTTACTTACTCAGTGTAATTATCTAGTTTTCATAATTCGCTGTGTAATTTATTAATTTGTTCATATTATCTTATAAGTGAATGGTTCATTTAGGAGACGTGGAGAGGACACTGTTAATTGAAAAAACATCTGGCTCTCTTCATGATAACGGTACTATCTGACAATTCCCCCTCTTTCATAATTCTAATAATATATTAGAAGTTAATTTTAAAGTGCTTGGGGCGATAACCATAGTTACAATTAATGACAACGATACTGTATAAACTCTTATGTAAATATTTTTTAAATAAAAACAGGAAACAAAGCATTGGTTTGAATTTGTGTTTCATAATATCTACCATTTGCATAAAATAAGGCCCTTTTCGATTTGAATTTACGACGCTATGACCCCCAGCAAAGTGTGATTTCAGAGGTTTGTGTTAGATGGAAATACAAGTTAAACGGATCTGAATATCACAGTCATTGTTTATATCAAATGAAGAAAATAATATCATTCCGGTATTATTAAACTAAATAATTTCGCTCCCGCTTTATAGGAACCGTGTGCAAGCATAAGATGATATTACCACGCCATTGTTACGTTTTTGTAGAGAATATCTATATGTATATATATATTGTCTATATATATATACATTTAATTTGGATAGTCGTTTCATTTGGTTGATGGAATCAAATATACACCTTTAATTCAACTCGATAAAATCGATACATTTCTCTTGGAAGTCAGAGATCCAGCGCAAACTACGTGTAAGTTACCTTTGACTTACCTGGAACTTAAACAGAAAGCTGTTTGCCATTTAAATGAAGTGATCTGACTGTAATATAAAATAAAATCTACACGTAAATATTTTCGCCGTATTAAAGCGTAACGTCGGCGCTATAAGAAGTAGCTGTCCGTGGTTCTGAAGTCATTCCCTGAGATCGCTCCTGCCTCATTGCGCTCCTTTGAATTTTAAGGTCGTCTCCCAAAGCCGCGCTCTTCGGTAATATTAAGTCCCAAGGTGTGCTTCACAACTTGTTCACATATCTGTTAGAATGAGAGGTTTTGGCTGGCTGTTTAAACAGAGATAGCCGCTTTGGCAGACCTAGTGTTTTTCTACCCTTCTGACATCTGGCGGCGCGAGCTCCAGGGAGTCCTGCAAATCCCCACAGACTCGCTGATTAGACTAATAGAATATTAGCATTTGCTCCGAGGTCCTGGCTACCCTCAGCCCATGAATGTGCCAAACATTTTCGCTCAAATAAACCCAAATCTCTATTGCTCAATAACGGCTTGTTAACTAAAATGTAGTTTTTTTTTTTTTTTTGCTGAAAACCCGGAGTATGTAGTAGGCTACATTGTTTATTTTTACTTTAAAATTTTTATTTGGATATTCGGGGATGAAATATTCACATAAAACGCGTATTTGTAGTTAGATATTTGGATCAAAGTCATTGAAAAGTAAAAAATCCCACGAAACGGTCGAAGTTTAAACTTTAATGAAACACATATAGCAATTCAATAACAAAATAACCTAAATTACATGGATGTAATAAATTAATATAATCTGGTAGGTAAAGAAAACAACGTTACAAAAAATAAAACATATGTTAAAACAGTACAGCAAAGAAATTAAAATAAATATGAATATATGTGCATGTTTGCAGTAGTGTACGCGTGTTTTGTGTGCAGGAACTTACATATTTACATTGTACAGGTATACTTCTCAAACGTCTCTCTTCAATAAATAAGCATATATAAACAAAGTGACATAACAAGCAACGCCTTATTAGACATTTTATACAAAAAAAAACAAATAAAACAAAATAAACAGTGCCTAAATTTACCAGTGCTATCATTTCCAAGATATTGCCGTTTTGTTTTTTTGGAAGCCGCACGTTTGCCTTACTTTCAGATTTCGATAATGTACAGGCAAAACGGAGGGAAGGAACATCCTGATAAATATGTAATGAGGTAAACATTACCTCACAGAATAAATCGTTTATAAGACCGGAGACTTCGCACTGGTGAAATACAGATACGGATTCAAATAGGCCTATATTTAGGCTATATTGTAAATATAAATAGCAATTTGGCAAGTATAAGCTTTATCCTTAATTCTCAAAGTGTCGATATACTGTGCAGTTCTAACGCTGAACGAAAAAATTCAGTACGTGATTTTATTTCAAAGAAGGATCAGTTGTAGCCGCAGCTATAGAAATGTGTCCATGAAGAACGACCATTCCAGTGCTGTTGTAACACTTTAATTTCAGTGTGTTCACAATGAGCGTGAAACCAAATACATAGGAGACTAAATTAATAATTTACAGTGAGGTTTAACCTAAGATCAATAACAGCCTTCAGAAACAGCTGTGAACGCCTCTGATATAGGCTATGTCACAACAAATAATCAAAAGTAATAACATTTGGTAGCCACTCAGAAATTAAAAAACTAAAATGTAAACGTATCACGGTAGGCTATGATTTGTTTTTACTAACTGAAATACATTTAATATTAAAAATAAGTCCATTGCCAAGCAGAAGGATGTCCTCTGGATATTTCAAGATACAGATTTGCGCTTAATTAACACGATGGTGTAACGTGTGGGTAAAAACAAATGCTCTTACTTGCTAGATCAAGCGATCCTAGGTCAAGATGTCGTATCCCTTCGTTTCTCGGAGACGACACGTTGTTTTCGGTCACTTTCAACAAAACCAGTAACTCGGTGCTAAAGTCTTCGATTACTGAAAATCTGTGCAATAAGAAACGTAATTCAAACAGCCTCTTCGGCTCTGAACGGTGCCAAACGGCATTTAAACGTCTTAACTTTTGCACCCCAGCAAAAAAGCTAGATGCATGCCGAGTACTTCATCCGTTTTTGTTTTTGGCGTTGATTACAAAACCAAACCCGCACCACGTTCTTTTTAAGGTCCAGTTTCTCCGCAATCGCTGCAATTTTTTCGGACGATGGACGTGGCTGAATGGCGAAGTACGCCTCTAAGGACCTTTTCTCCGGAGCTGCTATCGAGGTGCGTTTCCTCTTCTTCTCTGCGCCGTTGAAGAGCTCCGGCTTGCTCAGTTTCTCCCGGTGAGATTTTTCCGCCTCCTCCAACCAGGCTTGTAGGATTGGCTTCAGAGCGATCATGTTGTTGTGGGACAGCGTTAGGGACTCGAATCTGCATATAGTGCTTTGGCTGAGGGATCCCACTCCGGGGATCTTCAAGTTAGCTAGTGCTGAACCCACGTCCGCCTGCGTTACTCCGAGTTTGATCCTTCGTTGCTTAAACCTTTCAGCGAAGGCTTCCAAGTCCCTGGGATCGGCGTCCACGTCGCTCATGCAGCCCATATGAGAGGAAAGGCCGTGTGCATGGGCCATGTTAAGGGCAGCCTGGTGCATATGATTCATGCCCGCCATGTGTGCGGGGTGCGCCGGTGTCGAAACCACAGATCCATCCGGTCCTGCTATGGTCCCGAGTGCCAGACCCGGGGTGATGTGATCAAGGAGGTCCCCTTCCAAAGCTTGATGAGGCTGGTGATGGTGGTGATGATGGTGATGGTGGTGGTGACCAGCAAGAGCAGAAGGATGAGAGATAGGCACGGAGGACGCAGAGGAGGAAGACGAAGAACAGGCTATAGTATTCATGGTGTGGTACGTAGCGTCCGGTTTGAAAGGACTGTGATGGGGAGGGTGATGGTGGCTCTTGGTCTGAGAGACTATATCCACCGCTGCGAGAGCTTCTGCGCGGGCCAACAAACTCTCGTCCAGACCCCCAAATATATTGGTCTGCAATTGCAAATAAAATGCACACATTATAGCCAGTAGGGAGTTCCCGCTCACACTCTTCGGATAGAAACATTTCCAGAATGTAAAAAAAGAAATCTTAAAAAGGAACACGCGAAACAGGACAGATGCAACATCCCAGGTCATAAAAATTAATACAAAAGGCAAACCTGATTGAATACATAAGTTGAAGGGGAAATTTTGGAGGTGTTGGGTGATTTGCAATGCAGGCATGAAAAAAACATCAAGCGAAAAGTAGGCTGTCAGAATGTGCCTTTAAGCGGTGATTATGCAGAATACGTACCGGTGGGGTTGGGAGACAGGCTCGACGCATCGCCTCTGAGCTGCCGCCGCCGCTGCTGCTGATGATAGTACTGCTGTGTCTAGAAGACGAACACGAGGACGAAGGCGCGCTCGAAGTCAAAGAGGAAGACGATGAGGAGTGCAAACTGGAATACTTGGGCTCGGGCAAGCTGGCATGGGACATGGTGAACCCGTGCTTACCGTTCAGAGACATCATCATCATGTTTTCTAGCGATCGCGAACAGGCAATTGCCTTTTAGTAAGTTGAGACTCCGCCTCTTCGCTGGAAGCTCAAGCCCAATGGTCTGCTCAAGTCCCGAAGCCCCTATCTAATAACTTCCGCTCCCCTACAAAAATGGGCTCTGTCTGGTCCCTATGTACTACAGACGCGATACCGTAACTAACCGCTGTGCCAGTGGGATGTGGCACGCAGGTTGGAGCTACGCACGTGAACATCACACCCTGGGCAACCTCTTGTGCTTTTAGTGTCACAAACGGTTTGATGTCCGCCTCGTGCACTGACCGGCTGCATTGTCAGTTTTTCATTTTCTTTCTAATTTTGTTATATCAGTTAATCGAGTTTATTTTGTCGTCTTTAGAGATCCTAGGCGGCTCCCTAATTAATTAAGATTTTGAGCCTTGTTGTGCCGCAGTAGTAGGCTGTCACCTCAGCTCAGACTGACACTGTAAAATATCTTAGACGCTCTGCGAGTGATCAGCAGGTCCTTTGCATATTTCCCTCCCTTCCTCCCTCCATCCCTCTATTACTGCCGAGTGCCCTTTCTTGCTATTGCGTCTGCATTGCCAGCCCTACGTTAACACGGATATTTTTCATTAGCGTGGAGTTAGTGGTCTTGCGCATGAGCAGACGGTGGATGCCGTGCCCTCCATCAATTATAAAACATAAAAGTGAAGAGAGAAAATGCAAATGACGGGTCGGGAGTGAGCAGGGTTATAAATATCGGGCAGGCTAAGTTAAAGTAATTATACACAAGTTGCACTGCAAAATTATATAGATGATAATGTGAACAACATTAATTTCACTTTAAACAAAAAAGCTTGTAGTTACACGTAGGTAATTATAGTATGAACACAGCTTAAGATGAGGTAGAAAAGCCCCGCAACAAATTAGACGATGTTTTGACTAGCAGGCAGTTATTCAGTCGTAATTTCGATCAAATTTTAATTGCTTACTTTCTCTGTCTTACGTTCTGTCTCACCTAACATTTTGCATACCATTAATAGTTCAGTCGTGCTGAATGTAGCCTATTTGTTTTCACGAGCTAGTACTACGTAAGCACGTTACAAATGCTGCCACGCTTTCAAAGCGACTTCAATGGGAAATGTTTTATTAATGACAGACAACAGAAGATTTGAGATGATCTCAAGATTTCGAAGCCCCATTCATAGTGGGGTATTAACTTCATTCATCGTATAATTAAAATCTTTAATAGAATTCTAATTAACAAGGTTGTCAGTTTAATACCGGCGCCATAGTCAATGAAATACACTTGAGGATGATGTTGGTTTTGAAATACTTTCGATAATTTTGGGAATAGTTCCGTATTTTAGGACGCCTAATACGCCCTATTAAGTTAATTCTTTAAAACCAGCTATTCCATCCGATCACTTCATCACAGGAAATATAGCATTGATTCTCTAGACGTTGTTAGCTATAGGCAAACTTTTAAGAAATAACTATGGCATGTATAAAGTGACGCACTATATATGTGTGTGTCTATATTTAATAATTAATTTACAAAGAATAATGGAATAATACAATATTACCATAATTTAATAAGAGATGACAATCACATAGACGGATGTAGCTAGGTCGGCGATAATCTGTCAAGGTGCGGCCTTGCTGCCGTATTTCTTAGATCTGGAGGTCCTTTCCCATAGCTACGTCCGGTTCATGTCGCTCACATACTGAGCAGTTACATGCTCACAGACAGACTGAACACATCCACCTGGTTTCAGGGTTTCGGTCGAGCCCAATCCACGCAATCGATCACATTGTTTTAACTGTATTTGACTCTCCCTGCCGGCCCCTGGAGGATGGGCTCCCCCTTTGAGTCTGGTCCCTCCC